CTCTCTCTCTCTCTCTCTCTCTCTCTCTCTCTCTCTCTCTCTCTCTCTCTCTCTCTCTCTCTCTCTCTCTCTCTCTCTTTTCTTTTCTTTTTTTCTCTTAGAGTGAAGCCTGCTTCCCTCATTATCTCGTTTTGCTTTGTCTGAGCAGAAAATTTACCCTCTTTATCGGACACCCACAATTTTTTTTTTTATCGCCAGCCAGGTAGACAATTCCGAAGTTTTCAACTATGCTTTATGGATGCTTAGGGAGGGACCCCACAGGACGGCGGCGAACGGTTTCGGAAGTCGCGAGGCAACTTCCCGGACCCCACAGACCAATATCCCCGTCGCGAAGACGACCAGAGACCGTTTCCGCTCGGTCCGCAGCCCCTGTTTTCCTACGTGGACCTAAAAACCCGTTTTCCAAATCTCGGTCCGTTTACCTACCTCCCGGGTGCGTACTCCGGCCCATGCGGAAGAAAAACAGCAGCCTGCAGAGCGGACATGTAGTGGTTCTTCGTTCGGACCAGCGGCCACAAGGCCGGACAAGAGGTGTTGTCGCACGGTGATCGTTGGGCCAGGTACCGTGGCACTATGTGGGTCGATTTGATCTGCGAGATTCCGGTTTTCAATTTTTCGGTCGCCCCAACGGCCTTGCGATTTTGAATTTCCTTGTCCAGCCGTGGGGACAATATACAACAGCAACGTAGGCTGGCTGCATGGTCAAGCCGACTTTTTTCTTCTGCCACTATTCCCGTGCAAAGTGCGAGGAAGGCCATCCTCCATAGCCATGTACGGGTCGTTTGTGAGTGTTGCACGCACGTCGTGGGGGGGTCGGCTGCTTCGTCTCCCCAAGCCAAGCTCCACGGGTTGTGAATGGCAGGCCAGGTGTAGTGTTACAAACGCGGCTTGGCAGAGTCATTCACACGTGTTGCAGCCAGCGAAGGTTAGCAACCTTCAAGAGGGTGCAGTGATCGAAGCTACTGGCTTTCATATCGTCAACTTTTCTCGGTCGGCCATTGTCGAGAGTTAGCGATGGTGTGCACATTGGCAGTGGATTGTGGGACGGTGGGTTTGGTTCGGCTGTCTTGAGCGGACAGGGAGGTCATGGGTGGAAGGTCCGTCCCCCCTGGTTGATGGGAACAGGGCCATGCACTGCCCGTATGGCGGATTGTCCCACGGTTGTCGTTAGAAACCATGACGGCGTGGCATGCAAGTCTGAACCGCTTCATGAGCAGCGATGGTTTCCATGTGCATGTTGCTGTTGGCGACGTTGTCCTCCTGTCGTCGTCGTTGTTGATGCTTTGCATGAGGGTCACAGATGCAAGGCGGGCGCTTCTGCCCACCCCTTGACCGTTATCTTTGTTGCGTTTTTCAATATTGTTCTTCTGATTGTTGCAAGCATTGTTGTGTTCACGTTTGTAGGTCTTGTCGCTTTGTATTTCCTGATGCGTCGGTGATGTGCACCATGTGGGTTTGTGACGCACATGCAGACACGGATTTGTGGATAGATAGGAAGGTGCGTAGATGCGTATATTGGTAGACAAAAAGAAAGATAGACAGATAGATAGATACCATATGACGCCCAGACCCTCACGCCCAGCGCGACTTCCTGATCGGAGTGGAGTGTGGGCCTGGAAGTGCGAAAAGGGGTGTGCCAAGGATTTTTGGGGGAAGTGGGGGAGTCTTAAGGGTATGAATGCAATTAGGCGAACGAGGGGTGCGCGCGCAAGGGTCTCACAGTCCGAAGGGGCAGGGACACTGTGGGCGACGGGTTACGGGAAAATTTCTCCGTGCTGGAGATGGTCCCGAAAAGTTAGGCCGTCGGGGGCCGCCACGTGGCGCAGCCCGCCGCGTACCTGGGTTGGGCTCCGGAGTTCTCTGTGTGCCACCACGTCGGCAGTTCACGCAAAACGTATTGGGCCAATAGGGGGCTATGGCCGGCCACGGAACGACACTGAGTTGATGATACGGGAGAAGGAGGCGGAAAGGAGGGAAACTGGTGGTGATCTCAACGAATCCCGGGTGGGTGAAGTAGTAGGTGTGGTCGGGAGAAGAGAAATCGGAGCACAGAGGGTCGCTATAGGTGGCACAGTGGAATTCCCGCAGACATAGCCGATTCTCCGTGTGACAGGGGTATCGTGTTCTTATGAGCTCGTTTATTATAGGGGTGAAATAGTCTGGGTCATAGGATGAGTCTGAGCCCCAAGATCGCGTCATGGTATCATCGCCGGTGGGATAGTGCGGGTCGGGATATCGTCACCGCGCACGAGCATGTGTAGGGCAGGCAGACTCAGTGGCRCCTCAGCGTGCTCGTACGGGATGATGGTTCCGCCGCGAATCCTTTTTGGGTGAGCGAATCGACGCACGGGAATGCGTGTAAGGGCGCGACTCGGATCGCGTTTACACGTGTTCTCGCGCGGCGTTTGCGGGACCAGACTTCGGATCGTCGATTATGCACGATGCAATCATGTCGCAACCCCCATCGCGGGATAAGCAAAAACGAGAACAAAATCACTATCGGGCCCAGATTCTTATCCCATCTATAGTGACATCAGATGCGGGCAAAGATTCGACACAGACATAACACAAGGACAGGGATTCTCAGCAAAAAGATAGACAAGCAGTCATAACATCCATACATCCATACATTCGACAATCATACACATAATGCAAGCAGGACGGACATCAAAAGGACAAGTGTGAGCAAAAACCCAAGCACAGATTTCAGAAAGCCGAAACGAAAATAAGAACGGGCAAACCGCCCGGAGCCGTAATCAAAATGTATGTACACAGATGAAGAGGGGGAAGAGACAAGAAAACAGCAAATCCGCGTCCATCGACCTCAACTCTCTCCTCTCTCTTTTTCTCTCCGATGCGGACAGTCCGTCGTCACGCACCAACCCACGAAGTTGTCACCCCGCTTAGTCCTCCCGCACCCGTCGGATTCGCCCGTGCCCACAGTCCGTCGTGGCCCACGTCAATCCCGTGCGTTCAGCACCAGCCCGTCGGGTCGCCCAACTCCTACTCTACTCACCTCTTACTTCGCTCGTGTGCCGACCCTTCCTGATCGCGCAAACCCGAGCTTCCAACAACGGGTTAAGAGAGTTGACTAATCGCGCAGCCGAAATTTATAGTGTGCATGCATGCACGAAGAACACGGAATTACCAGGACTTAGAGTGAGGATTAGAGAGGGAACGCCTGCGTTCTGCATGATCGGCCGCGGCGTGGGGGACGTAACCCTTCTCCACACATCGATCCGAGCGTGCAAGCCACGGCTTACAAAATTTCAGCAAAAGAAGGAAAGGGAGGGCGGGAGAGACGAAGTGCAAGAAGAGAGATGCAGTTACAATGGCGCCCGCCCAAAATTACAGTTACACAYACGATTAAGGGCGCCCACTAATCAGAGTACCGTTGTAGCCGCATGAAGAAGCGCGCAAACAAAAAGGCGCCGCGCGGCAACAAAAGTCCTAATTACTGAATTCCTAAATTCCTATCTACTGCGAAAAAGCAAAAAGCACAAATTCCAGAAGGAAAGTCCAAAATTCCGAGAGCCATTGGGGGCTCAACAAAATTCAAAAAAGATTTAAAAGGAAATTCAAAAAGAACGAAGCAATTTCCCGCGCGATGTCCGCCCCCAAAAGATCGAAATCGAACCGAAAGAAACGACGTCAACATTTATTAATTGCGCGCGCGCGTGGCGTCGCGCCAGACAACCATCCGACCAATCAATCAACCAGCCGTCCCAAGACACACCTGACCCCGTGCCCGACCATTCGAAAAAGAAACGATGAAAAAGGACGAAACGGCGAGGATACTAATGCAATTCTCCACCGATCCTGATCTCCCGAAATCGGCCCAATCTTCCGAGCTTAGGACCCCTCATTGCAACCGCGCAGAAAATCGCGCGTTGCAAAAAGTGGTTCGTCACATATGTACCGCCCAGGGGTTTCCAATATAAGCAAGCTCCTGCTTGCTGGTTGACACGTGTCGATTTCTCTAATTGATTGATACACGGAGCAATTCTCTGTATGCCACTTACCGTTCGATTGCATGTGGACGTCATCCAACGTGGCCATTCTGCTCTTCTACTAGTTCCTCAGATTGGGTTCTTCGACGATCCAAGGACGGGATCTTTCTCGTGCCGTCGCCGCGATACGCGTCCATTACCGCTGCATGAGTAATTAACCGGAAGGGGGAAGGGAAGGCGATACTCGTAGGAGGGAGGGCGGGGCGGCTCCATCGTAAGCTCGGGTATGAAGCGCCCGATCGCAGTGAGGTCGTAGGGAAGTTCTTGAAAATGGACAATGCGATGGAAGCGGGGGAATCTCTGGCCGCTGCGGGGAAGGGAAGCGAGGTAGTCTGGGTAAAGGGATACGAGGGCTCGGAGGACGTCTGTGCGGAACCGATCATGGTTCTCGCACGCGGGGAAGGTCCCCGTAACGATGCAGTAAACCTCTATATAGTTACGGCATCGCCACGCGGTGCTAAGGAGCAAAACGTGGAGGGAGTAGTCGGGGACAGCACTTCGAACGGAAGGGTGGGGGTGGACAGTCAGTTCTAGGCGGGCGGAGTAGAAATGTCGGAAGGTGGCGATGGGGAAGGGATTACGGGGGTAGACGACGCGATGGAAATACTGATTGAAAGAGAGATAGCTAAGGGGATGGTGGTATATGGATCGGGGACGAAGGGCTAAGCCCCTCATTGACACGTTGACGAATTGGGGGACGGGCGGAGGCGGAGGGGGACGTGGATCGGGATCGGGATCGGCGCCTTGTCGCCGCGGCTCCTGAGGTCGTGGCAGCAAGGTCTCCATGTTCCGGCTTGGGCGGCTCGGGATCCTTGAAAGGATCGTTCGGTGCGGGATCGATCGCCAGCCGCTTTCCTTCCGCAATCTCTTTCGTGCGCTGCGCAGCAGCCTCCGGGTTCTCCTCTCGCCGATCTGGTCCTGGCACCCACTCGAGCTCGTCGTGCGTTGGCTCCTGGTCGCCCCCGCTTTCCACTTCTTCGTCATCTTTGTCCTCCTCCTCACTTTGCTCGCCCTCGCTGTACTCGCTATAGGCCTCTGCCTCTTCCTCTTCCTCCGAAGTCTCCTCCTCTGCTTCTTCTTCTTCTTCTTTTGACGACTCTTCTTCTACTTCGCGCTCTTCTTCTTCGTCCTCAGCCAATCGAGCCGCTGCTTCCCCAGTCTCCCTTCTCAGTTCTCCTTCCGATTCCTCTTCGTCCTCCTCTTCTGCTCTCAGCGCCGCCCACTCGAACGTCGTTGGTTGCCGAAAGAAGCCGGGATTAGTCAGGCTGTGGACGTCCAGGTACTCGCTACGGGAGGGAAAACGGTCCTCCGCCCAGCRCTCCTCGATACAAGCCGACCACTGGAGGCTCGGGGCGAGAGTCCTTGAGAGGGTATGTGGCACGGGTTCTTCGTCGCTCTGAGAGATGATGTCGAGAGGGAGTTCGTCAGCCAATCGCGCGATCACGATCGTAAGTTCGCGCACGATCTGTGATCGGGCTCCAAAGACGAATCCCATAAGATCTCCCGCCACGTTGGTCCTCCACGCCTGAATGACGAGCAACTCCACAATCTCCGACGCGGGCCTCTGATCGCCTTCCCACGTCCAGTTCAGATCCACTCGTAGTAGGCAAAACGATAGCTCGACGAATTYTGCACGCCACAGCCTCCAACGGTCCGRATCAACGATGGGTACTGTCAATGGCTCCAGACGGAAGGAGAGACGAGGGTAGTGAGAGGACTGCCAGAAGATGGGGAAGAGAGAGGGAGGAGAGAACGTTGAGATCGGTGCGCGGCTCATCTGCGCGGCTGGAAGGGAGCAAGTTCTGGGAGGACGACAGGTGGCTCGCGTAGCGTCGTGCGGAGCGTGTTGACTTCGATGCCGTCGACAGGATAGCACTCGTCACTTTGCCTTGTGAGCCGTCGATCCCAATCAAAGGCCAGATCGCAACCCCACCGGTACAAGGTGCTTTTGATGGCGGCTTGCCGCGCGGATTGAAGGCGGTGATGTCGCCGCTGAAGACTACTACGGTAGACACGTGGCTGATTCCCGGGGCCGCTCGCCGTTGGAACGCCGTTGCTTCGGCCAGCACCACTACTTGGGGATTGCTCGTGAATCGCAACTCTGCCGCGCCGTATACACCCGCAGTGCAAAAGAATTGCGCAAGGCGCATGAAGTCGGGGCTGATCCGCGGATGATGCACTTGGCAGATGGCTGCGATCTCTCCCCGTGGCATCAGCAACTGATCACTGAAAGCTCGCTCGATGGCGAAACTCATGGCGATGGCGGGCGTGACGGGGTGGCAGAGAGGGAGCAAGAAAGGGAGGGAGATGGCGGAGAGTCCGAGTCGTCGTCGTCGGCTTCCTCAGAAAGAGAGATCGAGGGAGAGGGATACGGAGCAGAGGGAAGGAGGAGAAGATAGGACACGTGGCGTGTGATCGGACGAGCCGATCGACTACCAGAGACTTCAGGGGCGAAACGCACGGTGTCCACGCCGTTGGGGCCAAGCTCGATCACGCGATATCGCCCGAAGAATCGTGGCGCTAGCTTACCCTGGCGAGCACATTTCCTCACCTGCACCACGTCCCCCAATTTGTACTGGGGCCGCGGACCCGCATTCCCATTTCGGGCCTCGTAGCTCCGGACCTGTCGGCCTTGGGCTAGTTCGGTCATTTTCTGTCGCTTTCGGGCTAGCCTAGGCATCGACCGTTCCATTAACTCTAGGTGTCGTTTGGCCTTGTCCCGAGCCGTAGCCCTGGTGGGCCTTCGGTTCAACGTAGACTCATCCGGAAGGCTTGGTATCGAAACGCAGGCGACACTATTGGTCCTTAATTGGAAGGGGCTTAGCCCCGTTGATTCGTGGGGTGTTCCGCGATGGACCACCAGGATGTGATCGACGATATCGGGCCAAGGTCTCGGATCCCGTGCCGCGATGTTTCGTCGCAACGCCGTCTTTATCACCCGGTTAGCGTTTTCGACCAGCCCATTGGATTGTGACATGTGGGGTGCAGTGTTCCGTATGGCGACGCCATGTAGGACCAGATTCCTTAACACTTCTCCCCTGAATTCAGCCCCGTTGTCGGTCAGGATTTCTTCCGTATCCTGATGCATCCCGAGGAAACGGTTGACATATCGTGCAATTTCCGTGGCTTGCCGCGTGCGACAAGGATACGCTTCGATCCATTTCGAGAAATGGTCGACAAATGCCAATAGGACTTAATATTCGCAACTATTAGGGCCAAAGGGCACCACTATATCGGTAGTGTCCATGCTTACTCTCTGAAATGGCCGTTCAACAACCGTGGGCACTATCGACCTGGGCGGCTGAATTGGCGCTTTATCAGCGGCGCAGACTTGACAGGTGGCGACGATGTACTTCACATCGTCGCGGATATTGGACCAGTACCACTCATTTTTGTCGATAGCGGACTCCGTGATTCGTACAACAAAATGAGCCGCAGTTTCCTCGTGGGCTGTCTTAACCCAGTCATACCGCATGAACGGATGCGGCACCACCATCCAAACCCCACTGCCGTCCGTTTTCCGTTTTTCTAATCTACCCTCTATCCATCGATAATCCCGAGCCCTTTCGTTGGCCCTCCTCCGATCCTCCTTGGTGAAATCYAGGAGGGGGTTACCTACTACGGTGGCAATTAAGACAATATCCGTCCATACTTCGGCCCTTCTAAACTTTCGGGTCTTTTCCAATCCTTCTGACGTCGCATCCAAAAAGCGAGCCTCGATCGGAATTTTGTCGGTTCGGCACACGGGGCACAACCATGGTTTACTATCGTTCCTGTATTGGATGCATGAGCCATGGGCCCGTGCAACACACTGGCGGCAATCTATCCAATCCGCATATCCCATCCCGTTAGGACGCATGGAGACTGAATAGACGCGGGAGATGGCTTCGCAAAAATAGCAAAATTTGTCAGGCAGGGAGAGAGACGAGGAAGAAGGGGGAGAAGGAGGGGTAGTGGGGTTACCTCCATCAAACATCGCCACTGTTTTGCTTCTTGCCACGTGGGAGAACTGCCACTTGTCCGTACTTCGGCTCGTTAGTCAGGTCCGGCTCTTTCCATGGTGTAATTTCCTCGCCCTTTGGTACCTTGGCAGGTCGATGCAGACGTGTCAGCCCGTCCGCGTTGCCGTGTCGCTCTGTCTTTCGACGGACGATATCGAAGTCGTATTCTTGTAGTCGCACTGCCCAACGGCCAATCATGCCCGTGTAGTTGGTGAGTTTTTTCAGCGCCAGCAGAGGCTCGTGATCCGTTACGAGGCGAAACTTATGTCCGTAGAGATACGGATGGAAGTGTTGGATTCCCCAAACTACCGCATAACACTCACCCTGAGGTGTGGAGTCGTTTCTTCGTTCGTCCGGTACGGTTCGTGACGCATACTCGATGACGTGTTCGCGACCACCGTTCCCCTTCTGCGCTAGAATAGCGGAAATAGCTTCCGGTTGCCAGTCCGTGACGAGAATGAACTGCTTCGAGGGGTCTACTCGAATCAAAATAGGGGCCGTTGCCAGAGCGTCCTTGAGAGTTGCAAAGGCCTGCTGGCACTCCGCGTCCCAGYTGAGAGGCTGGTCCTTCCGTAGCAGATTCGTTAGTGGTCGTGCAATCGCGGCAAAGCCCTTGATGAAGCGCCGGTAGTACGACGCCAGTCCCAAGAAGGCTCGAACCTGCGTCAGTGACGTAGGAACCGGAGCTTCCTTCACCGCCGAAACTTTTCTCGAATCCGGCCGCAATCCTCCACGTGTCACGACATAGCCCAAGAACGAAATTTCCGAGACGAAAAATTCGCTCTTCTCAAGCGCAATCTTGAACTCAGCGTCTCTCAATGCACCCAGTGTCCATTCGATGTGTTGCGCGTGTCCGTGATAGGTTTCCAAATAGACCAGGATGTCGTCAATGTACACGATCATGCAAAAGTTAATCATTCCTTGCGTCAGCCGTGTCTTGCTGACGAAGTTCTGGAACGTCATGTTCATCGCTCGCTGAAACGCGGCAGGCGCATTGCAAATCCCCATCGGACACCGAACCCACTGCCACGTGCCCTCAAACAACACAAAGGCCGTTTTCGGCCGGTCTTCTTCCCTTACCAGAATATGATGGAAGCCATGCCGAATATCAAACTTGCTGAAATAATTAGCGCATCCAATCGCATCCAACAGATCATCAATCCGGGGGAGGGGATACACATCTCTGAACGTGATTTCATTCAGCTTGCGACAATCAATGCAAATGTGAATCGCTCCGTTCTTCTTCGGTACTAACACTACGGGAAAGGACCAGGGTCCAGTAGCGGGTTAACGGGTTCAATCCAACCGCTGGCTTCGAACTCCCGAATTTGTTCGAGAGCCTTTTTGCGTTCAATCAAGGAATAGCGATAAGGTTTGCAATGAATCGGGGAGTGATTTTCTGTCTGAATTTCGTGTTGGATTACTAACGACAACCCAATGACAGTGTCTGACACACTAATCGCTCCTTGATATTCCGTGAGAATATCCGCAATTACCCGGTGGATTTCATCCGACACATATTGTGGAACGTGCAGTTCAAAGAGTTGGTCCCAGATCCGAACGTCAATCTGTTTCGTGTTCGCCTGTTTTGTCAAGTCGGGTGGAGGCGCCGAGATGACTGAATGATCCGATCGCCAGGAGAACACCGTGGCCATCATCTGAGCATCTTCTTCTCGGATTGCCACGTGTCCTTCCAGGGTAATCCCGTCACAAACATCCTGCCATGGCACTTCCTTAGTTGCGATCTTTATCCCCAGTCCGTTTGTTTCCGCTTCAAAACGCCATGGGGGTTCCAGAGAGCTTGCTTCCGCCCCCAAGCGTAACAATCTCACTTCTTTAGTCGCGGTTAGTAAGGACTTGGGTAGATCCATAATGTCACAGTAATGCTTCTTGTCGTTGTACCGGGCGAGGAGAGGGGTGATTCCTTCGTACAGAGTTTGAGGGGGTTCCAAAGAATCGACCATCCTCGAAATCTG